GTTATAATACCATGTACGTAGAAGTGGGCGAGGCCGGGAAGGCGGTGGAGGAGCTGAAGGGGTGGATCGCGGCGACGTTTGGCGGGGCAGTGGAAACGGAGGGAGGGCCGGTGGCAAGCACTCCATGACTCCCGACGAGGACTACGTGATTGACTTTCTGGGTGGGGAGTTTTGGGGAAGATGTGGTGGTCGGCGGCGGGTATTCGGGTCACGGGTTCAAGATGGGCCCGGTGGTTGGAAAGATTTTGGCCGATCTTGCGGTTCACGCGGAGGTTCGGGTCGGGTCAAATAGAGAATAAGGGAAATGGTTGGGATAGTTTTGATGATGTGGAGGGTAGGTTTTTATTTTTGTTGGGTTAAATTTGGTTGATTAAGCGATTTCGTTTGTCACGTCATCACTTAGTGGACTCTATTAACGGAGTTGGACGGAGACTAATGGAAAGTGACCAAACATGACATATTATACTAAATTTGGTGACCATTGTTGATATTAATTTTTTCAAGTGACTAAACATGACACATAGTATTAAACCCAGTGACCAAACGTAGCATTAACCCTTTCATTTAATGGAGTGATTTTCCAAACGGTAATTAGTAGTTAGTAATAAGTTGCAATTTGCTTTGTGCGTTAATCGCGTTGCTTACCGCCTCCAAACCCATTTTGTTTTCTTTTGCCTTCTTGAATACAACGGAAACATTACATTCTACATTGTAATTAGCCGGCGGGTTAGGCTAATTACACCAAATTATTGTTGCTTTTAATTGGCTTGATGGCTTCTCACTTGGCCACTTACGGCCAACCAATAGGAATGGCAATGGAGAGGTCTGGGGCGGGTATCTCGATATTCATACCTGTCTCGTGGCAGGTTGGGTCCAAATTAGGTAATTTATCATGGGTCGTGGGTCAGGGTAGGTCGACCCAATGGGTAATCAATTTATATAGATAACATTAGAAATATTCGTTATTTTCATTATAAGGCCAAGAAAATAAACCATATTAAGATAATTGTAGTTAATTTATTGGAGAAATTGAGGTTTTTACTAATTTACAACTTTATTATGGCTAAAATATGGTATAATAAAACAAATATTCTAAGTAATTTGACTAAGATTACTTGTAATTTAGGCAAGAACAGGTCAAGAATGGGGCGGGTCATGGCAGGTCGGGTTTACGAGTACCCACGCTCGCCCGGCCAACCTATAGAGCGGGTTGGACCCGCCCCAAAACAGTTCAAACAGATCAAGTAAAACGGGTCAAATTGTCATCCCTACCCACTAGGAATAGGAAATGTAGACTTTTGGGGATGGGCTGCCCGCGGCTGCCGCCCCATTAATGGGGCGAGTCAACTTACTCACATTAAACAATTATTCGAAACCCTAATCCATCATCAAAACGATAGGAGCCAGATGGTTTACTTGTCAAATCCTAGCATTAATGACCTATTAGTCATTTTTAGTTGGATAAGAACTTGATCCTTGGGATTGGGATTTGGGAGACAAAAATGTGCAACCATGAAGCATTATGCAACTAGATTAAGATGGAAATTTGACACTATTATAGTAGAGCAACAGTTTGTTTGATTTTGAGTTTGAAATTGGATTGACATGGTATAGGACTGCATTGAAAATGGAGTGTGGGGAAGTACGAATTTGAGTTGATTCGGTTCAACTTGGTTTCAAAGGGATTAAAGTACGTTTTGGGAGATCAAATCAAATTTTAAGAAGCAAGATAAATATAAGATTTTGGAGTTAAAGATGAATTTGTTTAAGCAACGTCAATACAATCACTCAGCGCATTGGATTATAGATTGAATTGTTGTCTAGCCTAACCGAGAGACGCTTCCATCTAAAGTTTAAATGTTATGTGTGCTCTTCTATTTGTCGTAGATGAGGACTTTAAATATGATAACTTAAAAGGAAGGAGAACATCGATGGAAAAATCAACGGGACTCAAGCCAATCACCATCGAATGCCGCCACTTTCTAATAAAGACCATATCTAAAGCATGTGTTGTGTGCATTCATAAATAATGTATTGGACACTTATATTTGTATACCTGTACAGTGGAGGCACTACAAAATAAATCACATATGCCTGGGGTTTTTTGAGCTTTTTGCGGCAGAAATAACCGCCACTAAGGACCCCGCCAGCGGTTACAACAAGTGCTGCAAACCCGCCGCTAGGATGACCGCCGCAGAGTTTTGCCAGGGGTCAGCGGAACCCCTGGTGGAAGTTTTTGAAACGGTTCCAGCAGCGGTCACAATTGCTGTTTTCATTTCCCACAAATGTCGGGTAAGTGCCACCAACGGTCGCTAAAGACTAAATTTAGCGACGGTTTCGGAACGACTGTCACTAAAACCATTCAGAAGTAGATTCTCATAATTTTGCACAAATACCTGAATATTCATTATCACATTAACTTTCAAAAGCGACATTAACCATTAATATCCATACCACATTAACCATTAATATCTGTACTTGTTTGAAACTCAACAACCAACAATTTTGCAAGAAAATAATTAAAGTAAAATAAAAGTTCCAGCAAGATCCATAATATAGAGCCCTTGCTTTCTTCTGAATCACTCATGCCATGTATTGTGTCATCTTAACCTGTTACAAAGCCAAGAAAAACAAATTTAATTCTCATAACTGCTATTAGCTGAAGAAACAAAGTCTTGATCTCAAAACTGCGCATATAAAAATTGGAGATAACTGCTTCCAACCTAGGACAATGCTACACATAAATCATTACACTACTTTATATTTCATAGAAATAATCAAGACTCATGCCACATTTCCTGAATGTGATTAATGAAGAAACAACAAAGTTTTTTAGTTGGTGCAATTTAGTGCTCAAACCTAGCTTTAAGAATGATATACAGGGGGGAATACTAAGACGAATGTGAATGGTGCATCCCAAAACCAGATTCAAGAATGATTACATAAAGCAATAATACCTTTTCACAAGCTTAGTAGCGTCATTTTACTGAGTTGGAAGAAGCTCACCTTTGCTTGAGTGTTCTCTGAGACACTGCCAATTATATTCTCCTCCCTGTCATCCATTTTATCAATGCACTTTAAGGGAATAAATGTTACAAGCAGTCATATTAACTTATTGCAATTTTTTGAAAATGCAATTAGCAGCACTTACCTCATTGAAATACGTGGATTACATAATCGGAAACCAAATTCTGAGCCCTAAAAGCAACCAGTTGGAATCGTAAAGCACAGAATTTGAATCAAGACATAACTACAATAGCCATAACAAAGTTCAAACTACATTAGCTTACCGAAATGGTGTTCATTGATGAAAACATGGAGGGCATGTCCTGGTGATTGCACACTGAGGCTTGGCTTAGGTCCACCGCGGAGAAACGATTCTCATAGTCCGATGTGGACGCTGGAAGTAGAGAAGATACTCAACAAGAAAGAACATTCGAGGTTTTCTTAGACTATTACAGCAAACCAAAACTCACTTGGTCATGTACCACAGAGAGTGACTAGCTCGTATCTCCAGTGACATTGATCTGCTCTAAGAGCCCATGAGCCGTCATCCTCAAGCTATCTTCAAGAGAATTCATATGTTCCTTGTAAGACTCCCACGACATCAATCTAGTACCGGTTGGCAACATTTGGACATTTGATGCCTTAACTCCAACCTACACATTAACAGCTTTATGAGCTGATTAGCTTTTTCACCACCAAGAAAATCTAGCTCTTGAGATAGATAAACATGAAATATCATTGGGGCCGCACAACTTATGGTTCTGCAATTATCTTGGTGTTTCGATTCTATCTATAGTTTAAGTACCTTGATTGCAGAGAAAGCTTATTAAGAAGGTTACTCACTGTGGCAGTGTTGGAACTTGGAAGCTACATGTCTACAATAAGAAAGGATGCTGATGGACCAAAGAGGCAAGTAATAGTGCAAACCATTGTAAGTCACCTTAGCAGGAGACTTCATATGGTAGTTAGTAAGAAGGCGACACATTTATCCTGGCCTGAGAATACATGAGTCTAATAGAGAATGCACTGTTTATTAAGCTGATGCTAAACTTCTAATTCAACTGTGTAAAGGGAAACCAAAGCTTAAAGTTTAGTTGTTGATAAGTGGAGGACTCGGGAAGATAATTTCAAAGTCAGGACTCAGGATTCAGAGGGGTACAAATATTTTGTTGGTAATTTACCTGCCACTGCTGATTGGCAACTGTTTCAATGTAACTTCCGCTCTCGTACGAAAGTTAAGCCGCCATTATCACGAGTAAATCATTGCTTGGTGTAGATACCTGCAGTTCTGAAGAAAGTTCTACATGTGTGATTTCATCTTGTTTTGTGTGAAGTATAGCTATCCAAATACCCATTTGACAGAGGCACATCAAGTGCAAAGTTCAGCGGATAACAGTCCAACAGGTGGTGACTAGCTTCCACAGGAGAGTGCAAAACTGACCCAAGGTTCTGGCCAAACCCAAAACTGTTCCGCGCTTTCATCTTCTTCAACTCCTTTTTGCATGTCTACATTGTCAGATTAGTTAGTACTAATTGACCCCTTTTTCTCCTTTGAACAGGATAGAATAAGAACCAAATATTTCGTCCTTTGGTTCACGATGTCTTTGAGGAAGAGTTAAAATTGGACTCCGACATCTGACCGGCAAGCTCCATCAGCTGCTTCCAGCCTTCGGCTATGGCCAAATACAGTACTACCAGGTTCCTGTCACTTTTACCAATATCAGAGTTAATTTAGCAGGGGTACATTTAGTCAAATCACAGTTTTCACACTTATCTAGCTGGTGGTACTGAAAACATGATTAATTTAGCAGCTAATCAACGAATTGCAACTGTAGTGTAGTGATAAACCTAAGAGATTCTAGAATCAAAGCCAGGGATCAGTACGGTCATAAATCAGTCATATGAAACTATAGGTTTTATGCTAGAAATTTCATATGTTACTTGAACACAGTAATATTCATGGATTAAGTAGAGTAAGATAAAAAGCATAGTACCTCAAGATGTGACTTTACTTTGCTCAAAATGGAACTGCAGAAGGGAAACTTGGAATTATGAGTCCTTACTCCAAATCTTAGAATACAAAAGAACGAAGTTAAAACTAAACTTGATTTTCCACATAAGCAAACAAAAACACACTAAGCATATACAACTTAAACCTCAAGGATATTACGTCCAATTAAGGAATCCTTACACTCACCCAGATTCTACCAACATCCACAACCCATTAGCATAGTTCTATTTGTATGACATAACCAATCATCCAATCTCCACAAGCAATCCTTGTACAAGTTAATAACAACCACCACTTCTGTTGTTAGCCTGTAACCAAAGCAAATTGGACTAAATTAATACTAATTGGCAAAAAAATACAGCAGCAGCAAGAAAATAGAGGGGGCAAAATGTTGCTTCTGAAACCCTACCGGAGATAGGGTTCAATTCTATCATTTGGAAAGAAGAACAGCAGAGGCATCCATGCACACAAACGGTTGAACGAAAGAGGAAGAGGGATGGACTTACAAGTCGATGAAATCCGAGATGGCTGGCTGTTGTTGACATCGGGAGGAATTGCATAGATCATTTTAGGAAATTAATCTATGAAAATGAGAAGAACGGAGGCCAAATCTTGCCTCTGATTCGCGCACTGCATTTCTAGCAATCTACATGCACAAATCAGATTTCGGAATCAAGTTCAGAGAGTCAGGGGCGGAGCTAGAAATTGACGTTTGGGGGGGCCGAATTTTTATTCGATTACAACAAAAATTCGTTAAAATAAATTAAAATAGTAAGAGACAAATATATGTTAATATTATGATAACGGTATTTTTAAATTTTATTAAATAACTCAAAATAAAAATTTTAACTACAAATTTCTATCCTATTAGGTTTAATATAAATTATAAAATAAACAAACAAATACTAATGCATTTCAATATTATATAACACGTTCTATTTTCACTTAAAATAAGATGTGAGCTAAAATTTGGCTCATTTAGAATAGAAATATAAGAAATTAATAGTACATTAAAATTAAATATACCGTTTTTAAAAGAAGCATTCCACTTTGGACTTAGGAAAACAAAATGGCTGGACCTATCACCTATGGTTGAGCATTTTACTCTGCACTTAAGCAAATAAAATGGCTGGACTACACAAAATAAAATGACCCAGCAGAAAATAAAATGGCTGACAACACAAAATTAGAAGGCCCAGTTGAAGCAGAAAATAAAATGGCTGACAACACAAAATTAGAAGGCCCAGTTGAAGCTTCGAACCACGGACCTCTCTAAAACTAATATGGATATTTTCCGCTGCACTGAAATGATATTTTGATGACATTAGTTAACTTGAATGGATTTTATATTGAAACTTTAGTTTATACGAAATTTTCAATATGCTCGATACACGCAACTTCAAAATTCTCGGGGGGGCCGGGGCCCCCCCGAGGACCTACCTAGCTCCGCCCCTGCAGAGAGTACCAGAAGAAATCAAGTTCAGAGAGTACCAGAAGAAATCGATGGAATGCGATCCATGATCGATCAGAGGATTAGGATTTAAGAATACAGCTGACGAGAGGAGAAAACGGCTTCACACGCCGGAGTTTAAGGTCGACGGATCGGAGAATACGGCTGATGGCGAGAGGAGAGCTCCTACTGGATATGATTTTTTTTTTTTGTCATAGCTGGATAGGAATTAGTATGAACACGATAATTTGTCCACTGAGTGAAAATTGGGTTTCGGTAAAAATGGTCTTGTTTTCGAAGGAAAAAAAATATTATGTTGTTGGATTTTGTTGGGCTCTCAGCGGGTGTATGAACCGCTGGATCATTCGCTGGCAAAAGCAAATTACATAAAAGCCCGGCAGCGGTTACCTTAACCCCTAAAAGAAAACCCCTGGGCTTGGCCCATTTCCTTGTAGTGAGGAACTAGGTTGAAGCCTAACCCCTCAAAATTAAATTTTAATCTAGCTAAAATTTCTAACAAAATTAGAAAATAGAGTAGCTGATAATGTCTTCACATCTCCTTCTCATTTTCTAATTATTACAATTCAAATTAGCTTCTCATTCAGATGTCTAACTCCAAACACTGCAGTTGTAAATCATTTTTTTAGCTTGTGAATAAGTTATAAATCGACATATGACACTGCCAAGAAGACTATATGTTTAGGGAGCAGAATATGTAGAAAGCAAAGACGGGAAATGAAGGAGGGGATGGATCGAGGCAGGAAGTTTCCTTGTCTTTTGTATAATTCACTCACATCACATGTTTCTTAAACAAAACAAAACAAAAAAACAAGCATTTCTTTTACAGCTAATCAAAAGCTTTGGGATTAACAAAAAGGAGAGGGAAAACTAATCAATAATCAATCAATTAATTAATTATATGTTGAGGTTAGGGAACATGATCACGAACCAGAACCCAATTCCCTGCTCCCAATAATTGATAAGCATGAAGTTGGTTGGATGAACAAATCACATTCCTTTCCATCATCCACATGCTTAAATTTGAGTTCCCTCTCCAAATAATAATAATTCATAATAATAATAATAATAATAATAATAATAATAATAATAATCTAAGTATTTCCTCCCTGTATTCCAACAGGACAAATAGATTCAAGTAGTTTCATACTCGAGTGAAAAGACTCAATATGTGGGAATTACCGATATCCATTTTAATATATAGGTGTGTAATCATACTTGAGTAATTTTGACTACCAATAAAAATATTTGAGTAATTTTGGTTTTGGACATATTCATAGTTTCATACTCAATTTATTTAGTTTTGATCTAAATTGAATTGGCTACTAAGAAAAAAAGATATTAAATTCTAATGCAAATATCAATTATTTTTGTTATGAAACTAATAGAATGGTGGAAACACCAATATTAAACTTGTAATTGGGGTGAAGGCAATCATGAAATGTTTGATATCATTTTTTTTTACCTGAATTGAACCCAATTCAAATTCAACCCACAACTATTAAAAGTACAAATGAGTCCAACTTAATACCCATCATATAGATCAAATAGCTCAATATGTTGCTCAACAAGTTGTCCCATTGTCATTCCTATGTATTACTTAGCTTAATTAGCTGCAGGTATAAAATAGGGTATTATTCTCACTTACTATTCAATACAACATGCATGTATTTTGATTAGAGTAACGTTGTCTGAGATAGAAGCAACAAACTACTGTTGAAGGTTGGACTCTGCTGTTGGGTTTTTTTTTTCCTCCCCCCTCAGTAACAGAAATCAATTGATTCTAATGTTACCACCTGCTGCTGATGCTGCACAATTAAATTCTTTTTGGCAGGTCAACTCGAGGGCAGTGAAAAAAGGGTAAACTTTGTAGGAGGTTAATAATTAATCTTATATAAAGAAATACTGCTACGTGATGTTTGATTAACAATACTAATAAATATAATATATGTGTCATTGTACTTGGTCTGTATCCCATTCATTCACTGATACAGTAGAAAATGTGGCCGGGTACGTGCATATATAAAAGAATAAAAAATGTAGAGAGAGCTAAGAAGGGAAATGTTCCAAATCTTGGGGTTGCGACATTGAACCTTGTCGAGCTCCAGGAGGCAACGCCGCTGCACTCTTCTTCCCTCTCTTCTTAAAGCCCGCGCTTTGCGCCGTCGGGACATTTCATTCCATGTAATAATAGTGTTTTTTAGAGAAATTTTATCATGTTATATAGTATTGGTGTTATAAATTTTTGCTTTGATGGTACAATTTAAATTTGTATATTTACGTTATGGTACAACTTCAGATTGTACCTATACTTTTTGTACAAATTCTTTTATGGTATACCTTGAACTTGTACCTTATGTGATGGTACTTCAAGTTGTAAAGTTGTACCATAACATAATGGTACAAATTGCTTTATGGTACAACCTAAACTTATACATTTAATGTTATGGTAAAATTTTGAGTTGTACATTAAAGCACCAATGCTATATAGCATAGTAGAAGTGCTCGTTTTTTAGACTGGAATGCATGTTTTAGAATTGTAAACTATTTCAGTGAAAAAATGGCACCATTCAACAAATGATAATGTACCAGTGTAATATGATCAAGTTATAACAAACAATCCCGGTAGTAATAAGCATTTGAAACAACAATTGTTTATAATTAAAGGTGTTCCATACAATTTTGATAATTCTGGTGGTACTCGTTTGTATTTTAGGCATCAAAACTCATGTTCATTCTATTTCACTGACCAAGCACAATCAATGATCATTGTGCAAACTATTTAGGAAATGAAACAATAAAAATTTGACTATTACCTTCCACGAATACATCTCAATTGCTAATTAATCTACCTTCATTACTAAGACTTATATTTAAAAAAGAATTGTCGTGGCCCCGCAACAATTTCTTCTTAGTCAGAGTAGGGTCCAAACAAATGCTTGTGTATCTCAAAGGAAATGTTAATTTAATTCCAAAAGAGGATTGATGGGTTGTGCTTGGTTGGTAATGTATAGCAAATAATAATTACAACATGGCAATATTCATGAAATCAAAAGGAAATAAAGTAAGCAAGCAAAGAAAAAAAAATAAAGCAGATAGAACTCGCTTCTGACCCAAAACTCGTCAACATCAATTTAAACTTGCTTTAATCTTGTCAATTATTTTGTTTTTTGGGTGTTTGAATAAATAAAAAACAAAACTCAAGAAAAGAAGAAGCAAGTCTTTCCCAAATAATCGTTCAAACTTCTACTAAATAATCAATGTGAGTAAAATTCGGTCATGACCAAACTCGTCAACACCAGGTTCAACCTGCTTTGATCGGGTCGATTGTTTTGTTTTTGGGTGTGTGAATAAATAATAAAACTAAAATAAAAAACAAAGAAGCAAGCCTAGCTTTCCTAAATAATCCTTCAAACTTCCACTAAAGTACAAGAATGACACTCGTGTGAACAGTGGCGTAGCCAGAAATTTTGTTAAGGTGGGTCGAACATTAACGTAGGTTGATATGAACGACAAGCAGCAAACGACATAGACAACCTTCTCCACTCCAAATTCGCCGTCATTTCCTAGTTTCTGTCATGTGATGTTACCGCTAATAGAATAAAGATATTTTGGAGCTCTAAAAGTTGCCTGTTTACACTTTTGAGATTTATGAAGAAAGAACGAAATCGAAAGAAAAATAATTGAGAAAAAGATAGATTGATATAGAAGAAGACATTATTTTTTAATGGCAAGAACAGACTTTGTGATTATAGTCAATACATATATACCCTTTCTTCTATCCGTCTCATACTAAGAGCATAAAACTAATAACCCTACAATCTAGCAAACTAAACGAAAAAAACCCTAAAACATTTATCACTAACTAAAGCCCTTTGATTTTAGTTACCCACTACGTCTAATAATCTCACCCCTAAACCGATATTGATTATTAATAACAATTAAATAAATGCATGTGACAGTCCCTTTCTCTTTTCTTATTGTATTTATATTTATATTGGAAAAGAAACTTAGGGGTCGTTCGGAAGTTGCGATTGTTAAATAGATGTATTGTTGAGAATGCATGTATATTATTATACATGTATTGTCGAATTTGATGCATTGTAGAATACAACGTTTGGTATGTGTGACTGTGTATGTCGCATCAGCTAAAAGCTGAGACAAAACAATCTCAACTCAACTATCTCAACAATCACAACGAAAAGTTGAGATATAACAATCACTCAAAATGAGTGATAGTTTCTGTCACATCACAGAAACAATCCATGTATTGTTTCTGCTAAAAAAACAAAAAAACGATGCATTGTAAACAATACATGCATAATGACAATCTCAACAAAACTATCGCAACTTCCAAACGACCCCTTACAAGCCCAAAAGATGCTAATGTTATTTTGTTAGAGGCTTTACAGCAGAAACAAGGAAAATCAAGAGTGAAACTGAAACATAATATTAATAGATTGGGCTTTAACTTATGCTAGGCCCGTATACATATTTTAGAAGAGAATGGGTCAAGGCTAGGGGAGGAAATCGGTACGGTATCGGTATCCCAATACCAAATACCGAATTACACTCTAAAGTCAATCCCAATCCCTAAATAATTTCGCTATCCCAATCCCAATCCCTAAATATTTCGGTATCCCAATTGGTACCTCGGTATCCCAATCGGTATTATCAAATACGAAATTAATTACCTTTGCAATTAATAATTAAATATATAAATTAGATTTTATTTTTTAATTTACGGGAAAAAGACTAAGCAAAGAGTTTTGAATTAGGATATTATTATGGAGAGTGGAGGAGAGGAGACATCTCAAGTTCTTGTTATTGATAATCTTTAATTTGACGAATTAGAGGTTGAGAGACGACTATTAATAATGATGGAATGATCTGTGTATAATTAAATGATACTTTTGGTGGTTGAGGGTCATTTAGTAGTAAATGAGAGAGTCTAGTTGAGAGAATAAAATACAACCTAGCTTATATTTCAGTATTTATCGGTATTTCGGTATTATCCCGATCCCAATCCCGTAATCCCTAATACCGAATAACAATTGAAATTCAATCTCAATCTCAATCCCAAAAAATAATACGTGTATTCCGTAATACCAAATATAGACAAATTCGGTACGGTATTCGGTATATCCCAAATACCGGTACCAAACTTCCAGCCCTAGTCAAGGCTGTAGAGGAATCATCTTCTCCAGATAACCTCTTGTCCTGTATCCTCACAGCCATAGCGGATATTAACGTACAAGAGCATTCCTCTCCTCCCCACAGCCTATTACCAATGGTATTTGCCTATGTATTGCAAAGCCAAGGTGGTGCAGCCGACCCACCTTGGCTTGTTGTGGCTCCGCCACTGCGTGTGAAACTCGTTCTCGACCCAAAATTCGCCAACCCTGAGTCGAATTATATAAAAAAAAACATTTGGGTTACAATTGTCATTAAAATAATTAGTTAGAAAATCCAAAATTCGTTAATATCGAGTTCAACTCGCTTTACCAGGGTCGAATTAGGTTGAATGGCCATGGATTTAAGAGTGTAAAACATGTTGTCGACCTAAAATGCGTCAACAATAATAATAAAAAGAAAACAAAATAATTAAAGTTTAAAATTACAGCAAAGGCAAGTAGGGCGAGTTTTTAACAAAATCACTCTGACCCAACCCGTCAATCACAAAAGAGTGCAAGCCTCGTTCTCAACCCAAAATTCGTTAACATCGAATGGAAATCGCTTTAACCGAGATGAATTAGCTCAAATACCATTGATTTAAGTGTGTAAAACTCATTGTCGACCCAAAATTCGTCAATACCAGGTTCAAATCTCTTAATAATAAAAAGAAAACAAAATAATGAAAGTTTAAAATGTTAGCAAAGGCAAGTAGGGTGATTTTTAATAAAGTCACACTCAGCCAATCTGCCAATTACCAAAGCATGTAAAACTTATACTCAAACCAATATTCATTAACACCGAGTTCAACTCGCTCTAAGTGGCTTGAATTAGGTTGAACACCCATTGATTTAAGCGTGTAAAACTTGTTGTCAACCAAAAATTCGTCAACACCGGGTTAAACTCACTTTAACCGAGTTGACATTAGGTCGAATACCCATTGATTTAAGCGCGTAAAACTCGTTGCCGACCCAAAATCGTCAACACTGGGTTCAACTCGCTTTTACCGGGCGAATTAGGTCAAATTCCCATTAATTTGGGTTGAATTTGGGTAAAATTGACATAAGTTAATTAATTAGGTAAAGCATGTAAACCTCGCCCTCGACCCAAAATTCGTTAACACTGTGTTCAACTCACTCTGATCAGGTCGAATACCCATTGATTTAAGCGTGCAAAATTTGAACAACATCGGGTTCAACTCGCTTTAATCGGGTCGACATTGATTTAAGCGTGTAAAACTCATTGTGGACCCCAAATTCGTCAACACTGGGTTCAACTCGCTTTAACCGGGTCGAATTAGGTCGAATATATATTGATTTGGGTTAAATTTGGGTGCATTTGTCATAAGTCAATTAATTAGGTAAAGCATGTAGAACTCGTCCTCGAACCAAAATTCGTTAACACCAAGATCAATTTGCTCTAACTTGCTCGAATTAGGTTCAACTCGCTTTAACCGAGTCGAATTAGGTTGAGTACCCATTGATTTTGGTTGAATTTGGGTTGAATTATCATAAATAGAACCTTAATGGCACAAAAACTCATTGTCGACAAAAAAAAAAAAAATTGGTCAATCAAATTGCACTATGGCAGGGTAAACATTTTGGGTCGATCGAATTGCACTCGCGGTATGTTATTACAACATTGGATATCAATGTTGTTTTCGAAACAATTTAAGGTGTCGAAATTGTTTTATTAGATCGATATTTAATTTCATTTTCGGTGGTCTCCATATGTTATCATGTGAACAACGCAATGGTAAAGTTAAGGGTTACTACCTTAGTTTGTCCCGAACTATAGACAAACTTTCTACTTTGGCCCGTGGTATCGGAAATTGCTATTCTGGCCTAACTCAGAGTTGTTGAGAGAAGGTTATGCTGGATCTTATACAGGCCTGTGTATGGTGCTTAACCAAAAAAGTAAACCATGATTCGTGGACTAAAGTCTGAACGATGACCTGGAGGCAGACGGGTCGCCGCAGTTGATGATAAGAGCCTCGCTGCTAACTGGAGAAGTAACTGATGCGCTGTGACATCGGAAAGGAGATCAGGACGATTTGAGCATGGCCTTCTTGTGGATTAGGAAGCGGAAAGCTCCAATGAAACGGAGAAGATCAACCGAGCGGCAGCGAGAATAGCGGCTTCGGCATGAGGATTGCCATGAATGACCAGAACGAGCAGAGCCAGTGTTGCAATTGATGACGAGCGGCAAGAGGCTAACTCAGAATTGTTGAGAGAAGGTTATGATGGATCTTATACAAGCCTGTGTATGGTGCTTAACCACTTCCTTACACGCCCCCTCAAACGAAAGCCGGCTTATGGGCTTGAAGTTTGCGCAAGCCAGCCCTACCATGTGCTTGAAAGACAACGATGAATATTGGGGGTCGTGAGGACTTAAACTGGTGACCTCACGAACAAACCAGCTCTGATACCATGTTATAAACTAGTTGGTCCCAGTAACTCGAGTTGTTGGGAGAAAGTTATGCTGGATCTTATACATGCCTGTGTATGGTGCTTAGCCACTTCCTTACACAGTCGAGTACGACCAATTATCTGTACCCACTGCGACTCGGACAAGGCCCAACGAGGCCCATGACTGACACGGTTTATTAACCGCAACACAGTATAATCCTATTCCTCCAGATGATTGTACCAAATACCAATGATCTAGTATCCGTTTGAAGACATCTGGAAATAATGGCTTTATGCTTGAGTGCTTCTCGGCCTATATAATTACTAGGTGGCGATGCCGCGCCATGTCGCGGGGTGGAGATGGCCTTGAGTCCTTGACGATATGATATTTGATCGAAAAGAGATATATGGCGGCAAACATCCAACTTTTTTTTTTAAAAAAATTTTGGCTAGTAAATGATATTTACCTAAACCCAAGTAGACCCATGGATTATGGATAGGGTATGGTTGACGTGTATATGAGTTTGGATGTTTGTAGATGAAAGTTTGTATTCCTTTTGCTTCTCTCTAGAGGTTTTCTTTTTCACCCGGGCTAGAATTTTCAACAAATATACATGGAATGTTTAGCTAGATATCTACACACATCAAATCTCATAGTGGAAAATGACGACTTTCTAATAAGTAATAACCATATATATTTATTTTTAATTGGGCTCGACATTGATTATGTTTGGCTCGTATTTTAGAAATGGTATTCTACTCCAAACGCTGAAGTCTGGCGAAACACTTCTAAAAACTCGGCTTTTGAGAAGCTGAAAATTTTTTGTATAACATAAAAGAAGAAGCTCCGATTTAGAGTTTCTGCGAAATGCTGTTTTGAAACTACAAGATTATTCTTAGCATATTTCGATTTTATTTTGGAAAATATAATTTTCTTTTATTTCTATCATTTAACATATAAATTTAATATAAAAATTATTATTTAATATAAAAAAATCTAAAAAGATTCATTTTGACTACTTTTTATTTTTAAAAATTTTAATTCATATTTTTTATTAGAAATCCTTTTTAGTAATTTTACATGACCTCTTTTATTATAAAGCACTTCTAATAGTTTTTCAGCCAAACACTCAACTACTTTTTTTGAAAAGTACTTTTGTACAAGTTCAAGACAAAAGCAGCTTATGCAAAAACTAGAACAGCATCAAACTAGCCCATTGTGATGCTAATTAATTTGAGTTATTTGAGATTTTGTGCCCTCACACAAAAATGTTTAGAGCTAACCAATTTTATTAACTAGCTATATGTCTAGAAACATTGATCCCAAGTCACTTGAAATCCTCTAATCATAACAAAATCCTAGGATTTTGGAAGGAGGAAAAAAAAGGTTCTCCCAACATCTACAGTTATACACAAATAATGCAATGGGGGAAGTAGTAGCTAGTACTTAGTAGTGGGTAGTGGTGGCATATATAATGGGAAGAAACCATTTTTATTTTCCTGATTTTTGAAATGTGTGGATCCAAACATGGCACAACTCTCCTCCTTGTTCATTTGATAAATAAATTATGATAATGTTTGGAAATGATAAAAGAGTCTATATTTATACGTACTTATTGGATGTATATCTTGTTATGAGTGTTTACTTTCATGTAAATTAGCTAGTTAATAGTCCACTAAATTAGCTGGTTTAAGACTTTGTTGAAGGATTAGAGGGAATAAAATAATTGAAAATCAAGCTTAATTGGCTAGGTAGGCCAAGCAAAAACATGAGCGAAAGTGCAATGAAAACCACCCACATGCTTCCCTTTTCCCTTTCCTTCATTTCCTCATATGATCCCATTTCCTTTTTTTTAGGTCTCTTTTTTAGAATTTAATCTATTTTAGTTTTAATTTTTTTTTGATAAATGGATGCAGAGCATCTCAGCCTTCATTCATAACCAAACGGGGTTCGGAGAGCCCCAAAGTGTCATACAAAATCCAAGATACAAGAGTAGAATCCGTGGTAGGAAATATGTTATAACCCAGAGGCATCTGATGACCTCGACTAGCAATATAATCAGCACACTTATTACCTTCTCTGTAGATATGAGTGAGGGAGACTTCCCAGTCCCTCTGTATTAATTCCTGGAAACGATGGGAAACCGCAGTATGGCGATGATCATGTTCCTGCTGCCGTTGAAGGATTTCCACTGCGCATCGAGAGTCAAGCTGAACATTGACCTTTCGGTAGCCCAGTTCCCATGCCAGCTGAAGTCCCTCTACAGCGCCTCTCAACTCTGCTCGGGTTATGGAACTAGCTATAATTATTTTAGTTTTAATTAACTAGCTATACACATGACATGAGCATCCCACTAATTATTGATATTGGTTGGAATAAAACCAAATCCTCATTTTCTCCTCTGCCCATACCACAAAGGAAAATACAACAAACCCATTTAAATCCATGGAAAGCCTGGCACTAGTTCTCCCTCACAACTCACAATCCTTCTTTATGCTTTCCTTATCCCATTAACAACTTCCAACTTCCATAAAAATAAGGGTTAATGGCAAGTTAACAAACATGTCTCTCTACTATTCTTTTGCACTTTCGTACCCTTTTATTATTGCAATATAACAAAGTTACCCTTCCGTCACTATTTTCATTAGTTTACCGTTAAATGACATGTAAAAAGACTACATTGCCCCTCTATTTAACTTATAATTTATTATTTAGTTTTTTAATTTTGTTTCCCCTTTCTGTGGAGGAGGAATCCGATCAGGGGCGGAGCTACAAGGTTGGAAGGAGGTGCCATGGCACACCCTTGATTTAGGGGAACACTTCCAAAACTTAGTTGAGTAAATATTACTCATAATGAAATTTGAACCCCAAATCTCAATGTCAATGGTCAATTTTTTACAATTCAATCCCAACCAATTATATAAATTAATTCTACCTACGAATTTCTATATTAATATAGTCTAATTTATCAAAATGAATAAGAGGATGCAAATTATTAGAGGAAATCATTGAACTTCTTATGCCAACGATAGTCGGAAGAGAAAATTGGTTCTCATCAATATATTTGCTTGTGAAACTTGGTTTAATTTGCTACTACCTTTTGTAAATATACATGTTGATATTATCAACACCAAAAAATACATATCGATATAAAGTTTTCTGCAATGAAACGATTGACCAGCCTTCGGCTTAATTGAAAATTTTGTGAATGATTATTTGGTGGGATAATATTAAGAGCAAATCTTCGTAGTTTGGACAATTATGTAGTTTTAAAATAATTTTATTATATCAAACAAGCGATCGCATCATGAGTTATTGTTCAAAAATTATTTTCATGCACACCCTTACATAAAATTCTGGCTACGCCACTAAATCCGATCCAAGTTGTTTGTCTTCGACTCTTCGTATACCTTCACCACAGTCGCCCTCCATTTTCACTTTTGGCAATGTCGATGCCAAGCTTTTCCTCTGGCATCCAGTAGGCGTCCGATGAGTGTCAATGGCGAGCTTATTTCTTCCCCGCTGCTCTGCCATCACCAGCCGTCGCAGCTCTTCCATTCTGGCAACGACAAGTCTTCTTCTCTGTCGCTCCCCTTGCTCTCTCCTTCACTCAACTCTTCTCTGGCACTAAGACCCAAGTGAGAGAATTTATAATTTTACATACAAGAACTTAAGGGTTTCGCAACACATTGGAGGATGATGTGAAGGGGAAAGAAACCCGGAGCAGATCAGAACCGCAACAAACCAAACCCTCTCTCGAATCCATTGAAAAAATAAATAAATTCCTCTGTTTTTTTTTTCTTCTCTCTCTCTACTGGCTACCGGTGGAGCAGTTGGCGACTGAGTTGATGAAGATAAAGGTTACGACATCCGCGTGTTGGTGAGGAGTGGGCTTCCTCGGGAATGGATCAGGTCAGTAACCTTATGGTGAGTAACCATGAGTAACTCGTCCACATCAGCATGACATCAGCATCCTCTCTCTCATGGAAAACCTTTAATTTTTCCCTTTTTAATCTTTGACGGATGATTTCTCGCTCATTTTAAGTCGAAATTTAATTTTTTTTGCACAGTTAGATCAGATTAATTGTGCTCTTCAAAATGATATCCACTTTAATATATTTTTCGAACAAAAAAAATTGAGCCATTTTTTACCAGCCTATACCATATGGTATTGACTGGTATTGAAATAAAAACATACCTATGTTTTGAAAAACGTACCATGGTGATATGAACAAACCAATACTGTAGGATGATTGAATACATGATAGTAGAAGTATATTAATTGTAATTTACGACTTTTAACATTGTATGGTATTGTGTGGTATTTTTTGGTCCTGTAATTTGTTCACTCAGAAATTTGTAGATCTAATAGATCATGATGAACTCGTCCCTTCTGTGCAAACGTTTTCAAAAACGAATTAAAAACGAAGAAGATACCATACAATACCACCCCGTACCAGGGTGGTATTGTATGGTATTGTGTGGTATTTTTTTGTCCTGTAATTTGTTCACCCAGAAATTTGTAGATCCAGTAGATCATGATGAACTCATCCCTGCTGTGCAAACGTTTTCAAAAACGAATTAAAAACGAAGAAGATACCATATGGTATGCAGTTGGTATCGAGAGGCCAAAATTTTTTTTTCCTAAAAAAATATTGAAAATTGATCTCATTTTGTAGAGCACGGTGAACTCGTTCCATCTGTGCAAAAAAAATTAAAATCCGAGTTAAAACGAAAAAGATATGAGTCAATTAAGAAAGCTAGTGAAAATAAAAATAGTCTTTAATTCTCCATCTTTAGATCTGGATTTTCTAAATGAAGGGTCCATATTTGGTTATTGATGGGTGCATAACCCATGGTTATGCACCCTATCTTGAGCCGGCTTCCTCCTCAATAGAAATTGGGGAAAGAAATCAAAGAGAATTGGGATTCCTCATCGTTAGAAATTAGGGAAAGACATAAAATAAGAAATTAAAGAGTTAAATAACTAGTTATGTTTCTATGCTGAAAAATATAATAATTATATTATAAGTAAAACAGAAGGTAATATAGTCATATCACTTATCATTTTAACGGTAAACTAACGGAAATAATGACAGAAGGTACGTTTGTTATGTTGCAATAATAAGGGGTACGGAAATGCAAAAAATAGTAGAGGGGCATTTTTGTTAACTTGCAATAGTAGAGGGGTATAAAATGCTATTAACCCTAAAAACAACTTCCAACTTCAACATACACAAATACTATATATTAAGACTAATTAGAGTGATGGAAACACGGGTGAGATAGCATGACTACACTTAAAGGATTGGAAAAATGAAACCCCTTATTAATTATATGCTTTTAAGATAATTGATTTGTGTTTCATTTAATAATCTGTCTAAATTAAAAATCCATATTAATTACTTTCCTTTTTCAATGCAATGGTAGTTCTATAGTGCAATGATATCAGTGTACATGTGCAATGATAGTTGTATCACTACAATGGTAATTCAAAAAGATGAATGTAATTAATGAGTTCATTGTACATGTACAATGATAGTTATATGAGTGCAATGGTAATGCGTATTATACAATAGCATACAATGAATGAATTGCCTTGCAATGTATGGTTTCCAAAAGAGTAAAATTAATTAATATTATTGTTATTATTATTATATATAAAGAAGAAGCAAAGTTACTGTTGCATAAGCAATTATATTTTGATACCCAAAATTAAATTAAATTACAACTTCGTCACTATAATGTACATTTTATATTTTGATACCAGAAATTTAATTTTAATGCAAAATTAATAAAGATTTTGATACCTGAAATTTATTTAAATTATAACTTAGCCACTATAATGTACATTTTATATTTTGATAGCCGAAATTTAATTTTAATGCAAAATTAATAAAAAATTATGTTTTGGCATTTAAATTTTATAAGATTTTCGTACCAACATTTTTTAAAATTTCCATACTGGTCCAATGTTTAGATTTCACTTGAATCCATGAATCCAATCCACCAATCCATAAACCCAATCCACCATAACATAAAAGCATAAATTTAGTTTGTACCATACAAGATGTTGTATCACTCAACTATAGGAGAAGATTCAATCCACCATAACATAAAAGCATATATTTGCTCATTACGTGAAACATTAAGTAAATGATAAAAGAGAGATGACTCTAAAATATTGTAATAGCGTATTTATAAACTCATTTAGTACATTTACGGGGGCACTAAACAAACTTATATTAACTACATGTAACAAAATATGCGACATCTACTTAAGCAAGTGTCAATAAATTGCTACAGTGAAAAAGGTTGACTGTTGTATTGACGGTCAACTAATCAACTAAAATAATTGGTCAAAACCTTTTCATCATCTACTTTCTCTTTGTTTTATTTTTCACTCGCCTTCCATAACCATTTCTTTATTTCTTTATTTGCCTTCTTCGTGTAACTCTAATTAGTATACTAAATCTATGTATTTTATCACAAGTATGAACGGTTCATACACGACTGACCAACAGTCTAGAGAAATAATAATAGAACCATGAACCACTAACTTTTTCATCTCAATGTCAAGTCTAATTAAAAGTAAATAAATAAATATGGTTATTACTTATTCAGCCTCAACTATGCACATTACAGTTTGGTACCTAAACTTAATAGATGTTAAGATTTTAATTTTTTGGCACATAAGTCCTCAAAATATTGATGGAACATTACATTTTACAATCTAAAATTTTGAAATTACATTTTAGTACCTAAACTTTTGAAATTCTACGAATTGGTCTGATTTATGTATGTGTAATTAGATTAGTAAAGTAAATATCCATACCCTACCCAAACTCATCTACAAACTTTCAAACCCATATATATGTCACACATACCCTACTCATAATCAATGGGTCTACTTGGGTTTAGGTTAATATCATTTATTAGCCAAAATTTTCAAATTTTTTTAAATTGGATATTGACTTACATATATATCTTCTCAGTCAATATCGTATTCTCAAGTCAATATTACTAACAAAAAATTAATTTTAGACTAATAATACTAACAACACACCATAACGAACCACATAATACATGCGCATATGTCATCTCCGCCACGCGAGGAGTCACGAAATCGCCACCTAGTTAGTATATATAAACTTAAAACATAGTTACTTTTCACTAATCCCTTGCCATGTAGAGATATGTGTGAGAGAAAGAAGAGAGTACCCTCTCGGTTCCCAAAGAAAAAAATGATTTGGGAGAAATGTAAAAGACCAATAAAGGGTGCATAGTACCTAAATTAGGCTTTTTCTTATGGGTTATATCATTATGGATATTTTGAATTTAAGTACGAAATATTATTTTAGTGTAATGTTATGTGTTATTATTTATATGTTAGGATGAGTAAAAATAGAAGAAATATAATTAAATATTGAGATCAATTTGTCAAGAACCAGTTGATCCCAATAACTCGAGTTGTTGGGAGAAGTTCAATTGTGGATCATATACCACAACACTACCACGCCCCCTCAAAAGAAAGCCACTCACAAGGGCTTGAAGTTTGCACAGGTCTGAAGACAAGAATACCATGTGCTTAACAAATGGGCGTCACTGGGAATCGAACACAAGACCTTTCGGTCACAGAAGGCTCTGATACCATGTCAAGAACCAGTTGATCCCAATAAATCGAGTTGTTGGGAGAAGTTCAATCGTGGATCATATACCACAACACTAACACAATCAATGTAAAACGGGTCAAGAATGGACGAGATAGGATGGCGCAAGACGAAAGTAGTCCACATGTCCATCCACGGTACTAGGGAATGCGTTAGGGTGGATACTAGTTTTTTAGTAACCATTGTGGCTACCTATATCTAAACCCTTCATTAGCTCTATTTTTTCCTTTTTTTAAAATGACGGTCAAGATTAAATTAAGGATAGTTTGGGAATCAAAATATTATCACACCAGATTATTAACTATATTTATAACCTACCTTTTCCAACCCTACCTCTACCCTCTCCACCCCTCCCACCTCCCGCCGTCCGCCGCCCTCACCCTCCCTCTGCCCACCTCACCTCCCACCCCACCTCCGCCCACCTCATCCCCTCCCCCCACCTCCGCCCGCCCTCCCCTCTCTTCCACTCTCTCCCCCCATACCCAATTTATTTTTCCACCTCCGCCCACCTCATCCACCTCCCCCCTTACCCCTCGCCGCCGCCGCCACCTCAGCTCCCCGCTCCCCTGCCGGCCGCGTCGTACGTCGAGCACCAGAAGGAGACGGCCACCTCTGCTCCCCGCTCCCCTGCCTGCAGGCCACCTCAGCTCCCCGCTCCCCTGCCTGCCGCCACCGTCACGATCAGGAACGACGTCAATGTCAAGAAGGAGACGGTTCGGATCGAGGAGGATGAGGAGAATCCCGGTAGTTTCCTCGTCGTGCTCACCATCGTCTCTGCAATTGGAAGGAGGAATTCCATTGGAATGGTATGTTTTTTTTTTAAATGGTAGTCATTTTTTTTCAGTAGTCATTTTTTTTAAATGGTAGTCATTTTTTTCGTAGTGGTAGTGTTATTGTCGTATTGGTATAGTTTTTGTCGCATTGGTATTGATTTTGTCGCATTGGTATTGATTTTGTTACATTGGTATCGATTTTGTCGCATTGGTAGTGATTAAATCTGCAATGGTATTGATGTTTTGCGAAATGGTAGTGTTTTTATTTCTTGAATGGTATTGATGTTTTGTGAAATGGTAGTGTTTTTATTTCTTGAATGGTAGTTTTCGTGTAATGGTATAATTTTATTTCTGCAATGGTAGTTTTCGTGTAATGGTATAGATTTATTTCTGCAATGGTATTGATATTTTTCAAAGTGGTAGTGTTTGTCTAATGGATTGGTACTGATTTCGGTTTTTTTTTTTTGGCAGAAAGCTTGAGAAAAATATGGAAAGGAAATCTGGCTGGAGATTACGGAAGTGAGAGAAAGAGAGATTTTTAATTAATAGATTTTTGTAACTGCCTTAAATGTAATTTATTAAAAAATTAATTAATATAATTTATTTTTCCATACCCAATTTACCCTTAGTAACCACGGTGATTACTATAAAAAAGTACTCACCGTAACCGCTCCCACGGTACTAGGTGTCGTGCCCCACACAAATTAGGTCGGGTAATACGGGAATGGATCAGGTCAGTAACCTTATGGTGAGTAACTATGAGTAACCCGCCCACATCAACATGACATCAACATCCTCTCTCTCCTGGAAAGCCTTTAATTTTCCCCTCCTTAATCTTTGATGAACGATTTCTCACTCGTTTTAAGTCGAAATTTAATTTTTTTTTTGCACAATTAGATCAGATTAATTATGCTCTTCAAAATGATATCCAATTTGATATATTTTTTGAACATAAAAAATTGAGCCATTTTATACCAGTCTATACCATATGGTATTGACTGGTATTGAAATAAGAGCATACCTATGGTTTGAAAAGCATACCATGGTGGTATGACACAAACCAAAACTGTAGGATGGTTGAATACATGATAGTAAAAGTATATTAATTGTCATTTACGACTTTTAACATTGTATACCATAAGATACCACCCCGTACCAGGGTGGTATTGTATGGTATTGTATGGTATTGTGTGGTATTTTTTGTCTTGTAATTTGTTCACCCAGAAATTTGTAGATCCAATAGATCATGATGAACTCGTCCCTGCTGTGCAAACGTTTTCAAAAACGAATTAAAAACGAATAAGATACCATATGGTATGCAGTTGGTATCGAGAGGCCAGAATTTTTTTTCCTCAATAAATATTGAAAATTGATCTCATTTTGTAGAGCACGATGAACTCGTTCCATCTGTGCAAAAAAAATTAAAATCCGAGTTAAAACGAAAAAGATATGAGTCAATTAAGAAAGTTAGTGAAAATAAAAATGGCTTTTAATTCTCCGTCCTTAGATCTGGATTTTCTAAATGAAGGGTCCAGATTTGGTTATTGATGGATGCATAACCTATGGTTATGCACCCTAACTTGAGCCGAGTAATACCCGACGGGACGGATTCAAATTTGTTGGGGAAATTGTTCACGTATACTATTTTCTTGCAACACAAGCAAACACATAAGATTAAGAAAAACATGCAAAGACACATGCAAGCGTCCTAGCCGATAGAATTCACTATCTCTCCTTAAAGAATCTTATTCCCCTCAAGTACCCAAGGTTGTGGAATGATTCCTCCCAGGATAGAAAGGACGTACCTTTTCCGGCGTAGCGGTACCTCAAACCCCGGAAACACCATCGAACGCAGCGAAACGGCGAGAACCACACTTGACTCTATTTTCTCTTTGAAAAGGAATGCAGAAAAACTAGTTTTGGATTTTGGCAGAGTTTCAGTATCGGGAAAAATCCATGTAAAACTCGTTGTAAAAACAAGAGGGGGTATGGTGCTATTTATAGAAAACGAAGGGATGCATTGAAGGGAGGCAACTCTTCATATGGGTGGTTACACCCCAACCATTGCATTGGTTCGTTTAAAATATTTCAACCATTGCATTGGTTCGGCCTCATGGAAGTTGGACCGGTTTGGTTATTCCAACCGCCACATCGGTTCGGTTTGATTTGGTTCAACTCGGTTTGGTTCATTTGGTTACACAAACCAATTTAACCAATTAACCACATATTACATCAAATCGATCGAGTTCGAGGCCATGCCTTCTCACATCTTACCAACATGGTACTTCAAGAGACTCTCTTGAAACTTTCCCCTTTTATTTCCATTCACACCACTAAAAATCCCAACAATCCCCCACATGAATGGAGAAAGTTGTACTTTAAAAACTATGCAAAAAATCGTGTGATTCTCGACTAAGAATTAGTTGCATCGGAATAGGTAGGTTTCCCTTTGAACCTTCCTTAGTGAACATATATCGAGTATACTCACCAATCGGTAGATGTGATATCTTTGAACCGTCGGTTTGGTTGTATACTAAGACAACATATGTCACACACCTAACTCTTATCCGTTCACTGGTTCTCATTGTTGTGTTCGTTTCAGCCATGAACACCGCCTGGTTTCATGAGTGTGTAGAGAATTGGCCTTCTTTTATTCTCCTTGAAGCGGCTCCACTTCACACTCACATAGGTGATTTCTAAACGTGTATTCCGAAAATACACTATTTGATCACATCCTGTGTCAAACTTAGAAACCATTAAAAACCTTCTATATTTAGGTTTACCCTTATAGTTGGACATTGTCTCATCATGAGAATGAACTTTGAATAATTTGACAATGTCGGACCATCAATCACAACTTTGTTTCTCCTTGAACCTAGAGGTTGGGTCTGCCAATCCTGCTTAGGTAGAGTTACCGCCATGATGATTTGTCCTAGGCCACGAGTCCATTCCCTTCGATGCTATCGTTAACTTCTAGGTAGGCCTAACGTTTGTTATCACTTGATCTAAGATGATCAATCCAAATAACTTTGCTAGAAATTAATCAATCCATAGTGTCACGTTTCCATTATCTTTGACGAGATTTATCACATAACACTCCTAGCCCACACAATAACACCTTTGTGCACAAGTGCGTTTTATTAACGCCAGTCTCTGCGGGCCAAACTACTCAACTTCACCGGTCTTAGAGTTTAACTTGGACGTTTTCCAAGATACTGCTCCTCGTTAACCATAAATGCCTATCCATTAATGGACTATGGCTTTTGGTTCACCCAGTGAGTTCCTTTGGGTAAAATTCACCAAAGACTCGTCTCTTTTCGATTCACTACACATCTTGTGATCTTGACTTGATTTTATTGCCTTGCAATAATCATAACACATGCCAACGTTATTGAAGTCTCTCCCCTTCATTAACCTTACTTGAGCTTCACAAGTATCTCTTTAAATGTAGTGACATTTATGACTTAGCTTAGGGTTTACGCAAAACTTCTAAGTATCACTTTCACTTTAGAATCACCCAAGCAACATTCCACATTACTTCTCCCCAATTTATCCCCCACATTTCAACTATTTCGCCATAGTTGTTGAAACCAACGTTTCCGGTTTGGGGAATGTTGTTCATATACATTCATGTATAAGGTCAAAATCATCTCTTTGGGAAGAGTGGATCAACATCAATAAATATTCTAGCTCTCTGACATAACGTCAATATATGCTAGAGTTTACTCATAAGTTATACCCTTGGACTGGGTTAACTCCACAAGGTTTAAGGACTCTCACTTTCTCATTGGACACCTTCATACTTTCAAGTATGACTTCGGTTACCTTTCCACTTTTGTCTTATGGATAGGTTTGCGTCCCATTGTAGGGTCTCGAGATAGTAGCCGAAACAATGGCTAGCTCTTCTCCCCCACAATTCTACCATTTGCCAACCATCATGGAATAATTCCATTTATTTTCCCTGGTTTTACTTATTGAACTTGCCAACTACTATATGTATCTAATTGTTTACCAATGGTATGATCTCACTCGATTAGCATACCACAAACAATTCAGATTTTATTAGAAAAATCATCCAATTACTTACCAATGGTATTGATCAAGGCAACTTGAGACGTCATAAGTAATTCAGATGCATCTAATTACTTTCCAATGACATTTCATATATGTAACATGATATACCACAAGTAATTCAAACGAATTTCTAATTCAATTGTCTAATTACTCTCCAATGGTATAAACTTTATAAATATACCATAAGTAATCCAGTCTTTATGTTCAATAAGATCATCACAATTGAGCTCTCATGCCAAATTGTTTTCCAATGATATACATCTATATATACCATAAACAATTCTAGCAACTAGCTCCACGTTGATAATCATAGTCATTTTGATGACGACCATCATTTGGCAAGCTTATTAAATCCCTTTAAGGATCAATTATAGCTTCATTTTCCTTGCCCTCATGGCATAGGAAACATCAAGTCCTAAACCACATACATGATAAATAAATTATCATGTCTTCACAACTATCACAGGAACTAGAATTCCTTATCGCTTGTAGCTTTCTCATAATGCAATCCTTAAACGTGCATTAACCAAATTTCATCTCCAACACATTGGAGGTATACTCTTTCAAACTATGTCCAACATACTATGAACATTACGTTTGCAACCATTCCGGCATAGATAGACTTGACTCACAAGTCCCCACTTGCCACGCTCCATCGGTTTTACACACCTATGATTGTTCATATTCTCCCACTAGATAGTTTACTACTATCCAAACCACCGTTACTTAGAGTCCATGAAGGACTATCATAAGTACTTCCATCATCTCATGCATCACCTTGAATGAAAAGGTGTCCACCTTATGAAGGTGTCCAAATTAAATTGGTACAATTATCATTCATCCATGCCACATAATAGAGATGGACCAATGCAATAAAGCATTAAAACTTTGTGGTTAATTTTTGGAACCAAACAAACTCGTAAGGTTTTATCCAACTAATTTTCCATTTGGGAGATAAGAACATTTGTCCTTTATTCATCATGTAAATACACGACTTACATAGGTACACACATATTAATACCATATGTATATATACACACGCATACATATGTCTACTCCTCAAAGGAGATTACAATACATATACAAGAATCCTAAGGATTCTTGGGGCCGAAGTCAGGATCAGAGAGACATTCATCGGTCGCTATGTCGGAGTACTCCTCCTCGTTCTCCGATTCCTCAACTTCCTCTTCTTCCCCCATACTCTCCATCGAGTCCACATGGGTGCCCATATCGTCCACATTAGGACCCATTGAGTACCAGTCATAGATGGGTATATCATCTAGAGTCCAATAATGGTTGGATGCTCTCCACCAATGTCATTATATAGCCAATCTCCGCTATCGTCATAAATGCCAACAAAGTATTTGATATCATTAATGAAACCAAATTCATCATACTTTGTCATCGACAGCAAACTAAGAATTAACTAAAATTCCAGTTTTCATACTTGCACCAATA